AAATTGACACATAGTGGGGTAAATTGGACCAGGGGATAATTACCAATGCTTTTTATCTACTTAAAATAGAATTAGTTTTAATATGTACTTTTTTTTATAAATATTGTATATTTTTTATAAATTAATTCGAAGAAAATAGTGTTTTTTGGGGTAAATTGACACATAGTGGGGTAAAGTGGACCAAGGGATAATTACCAACGGTTTCTATCTAATTACAATAGGATTAATTTTAATATGTACTTTTTTATAAATATTGTATATTTTTTTATAAATTAATTTGAAGAAAATAGTGTTTTCTGAGGTAAATTGACACATAGTGGGGTAAAGTGGACCAGGGGATAGTTTCCAACGGTTTCTATTTAATTACAATAGGATTAATTTTAATAAGTAGAATAAAGATGGAAAATAAATAAGGAAACCGATATTTTTGGGGTAAGTTGATACATAGTGGGGTAAAGTGAACCAGGGGGTAATTTACAACCCTCTTTGTCAAATTCCAATGCGACTAATTTTACTATATAGAACCTAGATATAGAAAATAAATAAATAAAATTAATAATAAAATAAATCGTTATTTTTGGGGTAAATTGATACATAGTGGGGTAAAGTGTGAATTTACTATATTTAAATTACATTTATAAATCATTTTATAAACAAATTAAGAATTGACGACAATTAAAGCTGAAAAATAGTGTCTCCTTCCACCGACATCTTTGCTGTTCTCCTAATGAATCTTTGAGATAAAAATTCTTGACCACAATTATTTAACAACTTTATAAACAATTGTTATAAACAATTGTTATAAACAATTGTTATAAAAAATTGTTATAAACAATTGTTATAAACAATTGTTATAAACAAATTCCAAATTAGCAACAAAGTGTAAAGCTTTCGTTTTTTCTTTCACTATTTTCTTTTCTATATAGAATTAACGAATCTTGAAACTTTAATTTACTTATTAATATTTTTCAATATAGTTATAAACAATTGTTATAAACAAAGTATCTATTAACAACAATTGAGTATAAAAAAAATGTTTCCTTTTCCAATATTCTTCTTTATAAGGTTAATATATCTTGAAACTTAAATTTAAATCTTAATATTACATTCTCATTTTTCAACAAAGTTATAAACAATTCTTGTGAACAAATTATTTATTTATAATAACTTAATGTAAAGTGCTAAGTTCGGTGTTAAAAATTAAAATTTAAGATTCAAAATACACATTATAACCGCGCCTATAAAAAAAGAATATTGGAAGAAAAACAATTTTTTATATTCAATTGTTGTTAATATGTAATTTATATTTACAATATTTACAACAATTGTTTATTATACTTTATTAAAAAATATTAATTGGTAAATTAAAGTTTCAAGATTAATTAATTCTAAAGAAAATGAATAGTGAAAGAAAAAACGAAATCTTTACGCCTTTACTTGTTGCTAATTTTCGAATTTGTTTATAACAATTTATTACAACAATTGTTTATAAAGTTGTTAAATAATTGTGGTTAGTAATTTTTATCTTAAAGATTCATTAAGAGTAAATCTTTTTCATTTCTCTTAAAAAATCTTTGTGAAAAAAATAATTGATTACAATTATTTAACAACTTTTTAAATAATTGTTATAAACAATGTTCATAAACAAATTCCAAATTAGCAACAAGTAAAGGCGTAAAGATTTCGTTTTCTCTTTCACTATTTTCTTTTCTATATAGGATTAATAAATCTTGAAACTTTAATTTACCTATTAATATTTTTCAATAAAGTTATAAACAATTGTTGTAAACAAAGCATATATTAACAACAATTGAATATAACAAAAAGTTTACACTAATAAAATCCTTTTTGTAGAAGGGAACTTAATTTGTACTTAGTTTGTATTCATTAAAAGAAAATAAAGAAATAGTGAAAATAGAAAATAGTGAAATTTGTTTATAACAATTGTTTATAACGTTGTTAAATTATTGTTGTTAATTAATTCATTAGGAGAAATAAAAAAATTTTACTCTTAATGAACCGTTAGGATCAAAATTATTGATCACAATTATTTAGCAACTTTATAAACAATTGTTAGAAACAATTATTATAAACAATTGTTATAAACAAATTTTAAAATTTGCAACAAGAAAAGGCTTAATGATTCCACTTTTTGATGATTAAAAAAGTTGGTAAAAGAAGACACTATATTTCAGTTTCAATTGTTTATTCTTAATTTGTTTATAATAATTGTTTATAACATTGTTAAATAATTTTTGTTAATTAATTCATTAAGAGAAAAAAAAAGTTTTACTGCTAATGTATATCTATGAGATAAAAATTATTGACCACAGTTATTTAACAACTTTATAAACACTTGTTATAAACAATCGTTATAACAAATTGTTATAAACAAATTCAAAAATTAGCAACGAGTAAATGCGTAAAGATTTGTTTTTTTTTATGCATAAGAAAGTCGGTGTAAGAAGACACACTATTTTTCAGTTTCAATTGTTGTTAATTTTTAATTTGTTTATAACAATTGTTTATAACATTGTTAAATAATTGTTGTTAATTAATTCATTAAGAGAAATAAAAAAGTTTTACTCTCAATGAATATTTGAGATGAATAAATTATTGACCACAGTTATTTAATAATTGTTATAAACAATTGTTATACACAATAATTATAAACAATTGCTATAAACAATTGTTATAAATAATTGTTATTAACAAATTCCAAAATTAGCAGCAAGTAAAGGCGTAAATTTTTTATTTTTTGATGAATAAAATGATGGAAGAAGACACAATTTTTAAGCTTCAATTGTTGTAAATTCTTAATTTGTTTATAACAATTGTTTATAACAATTGTTAAATAATAATGTTAAACAATTTTAATCCTCCAAATTCATTGCAATTATAGAAATAAGAGCCATATATGGAAACAAACTTTTTTCTCTCAATATTTCTTTGTTGAAAAAAAAAACAATTTGTTTATAAAAATTCTAGGAAACATTTAGTTTTCAAATTTAATTTTTCTGATTATTTGAAATTATTTTTCTTTTCATCCATTCTCTTCTGTCCCTCAAAAAAATTTATTTCTTATTCACAAACAAAAATAATAATGAAAAAAAAAAAAAAAAAAAAAAATACCGACACTCACCCGCAGTAACGTATAGAGAAATGTTGGCACGCACACAAGCGCGTGCCGCCTCCATAAATAAGCTTCGTTAAAAGAAGTCGAAACTTGCGATGGCTCCTCGCTTGAATTTCTTCTGTCGAAGTTATCTTCCACGAAGGAACTTCAGGTCCTTATCCTGTTTCAATTTTTTTTTTTGCATTTTATTTTTTTTTCTTGTTTAGCCTCTCTCTCTCTCTCTCTCTCTCTCTCTCTCTCTCTCTCTCTCTCTCTCTCAAATCCTTTTTCTCTTTTCCTGTAATCGAGAATCACGCAAACGCGTTTTGCGAGTACACGTGTATTATACTGACCAACAGCAAAGGTCGTATCTGAGAGGGGAGGGGGGTGGGGTGGGGGCAAAGGGAGGGGGGAGATAATAAAAAAAGAAGGGAGAAGTCGCGTGGCCCCATATCTTTAAGGAGAGAAAACCAAGGGGGGTCTTTAGACGGACAATGAATGGAGACTAACACTGTTTTATCATGTAGCCAATTAATAACTATCTTCCTTCCCTCCCCCCTCCTCTTACCCTTGTCCCCCCACCCTTACTCCTCCCCCTTAACCAACTTTGCTTCAATGTTCTTCGTTTTCCAAGATATCGTCTCTTTGCGAATAGATCTTACCATGTAGATAATACACTATGTACGTGCTGATATCAAGCCAAGAATATATGTAAACAAAGTATCTTGGTTGTACAAAAAGAGAGAGGGAGAGAGACACTGTTGACATATTTTATGCAATTAAATTTAATCTTCCGTATTTAATATGAAAATTTCCCAAAAGTTTGCTTCTATACTTATATTTTTAATGTAGCTGAAAATATTTTATTTTAAATGGGGGACATTTTACCCCGTTATGTGTCATATTACCCCGGTATTCTTATTTTTCTTTTCTTCATGATAATCTCTCATCGTATTTAATAAGAAAATTTCCCAAAAGTTTGCTTCTATACTTTTTTTTTAATGTTCCTGAAAATTTAATTTTAAATGCGAATGACATTTTACCCCGTCATGTGTCATATTACCCCAGTATTCTAAATTATATTTTTTCTTCATAACAATCTCTCGTATTCAATAACAAAATTCCCCCTAAAGTTTGCTTCTACTTGAAAATTTAGTATCCTGGTGCGAATGTCATTTTACCCCGACGCCATGTGTCATATTACCCCAGAATTCTTAATTATAGTTTTTCTTCATAGTAATCTCCCGTATTCAATAACGAAATCCCCCCTAAAGTTTGCTTCTACTTGAAAATCGTAGTACTCTAATGCGAATGTCATTTTACCCCGACGTCATGTGTCATATTACCCCAGAATTCTTATTTATAGTTTTTCGTCATGGTAATCTCTCGTATTTAATAATAAAATTCCCCAAAAAGTTTGCTTCCACTTATTTTTAATGTATAGTTGGAAATATTTATTTTTAATTGCGAATGACATTTTACCCCGTTGCCATGTGTCATATTACCCCAGTATTCTTATAAATTTAGGTGAATATTCACGAGATATGAGACAATTATGAGACTATAAAAAATATAAATAATATAAAAATAGCAATAAATTCGAAATTTTGATCGAAAATGTTCATGTACACTATTACCCCATCATTGGGGTATTATTACACTTTTACCCTAAAAATAAGTTTTTTCAATCTACAACTCTTATTATTATCTGTCAATACAAAAAATTAAATTTACGAATTATTCAAATCTAAAAATTGTAATTATTATTTTTGAAATATTTCTTAAAGAAAAATTAATTCCTTAAAAAAAATATTTTTAAAGAAAAAATCCATTTTTTAAAAGAAAAATTGATTTTCTAAAAAAAATTATCTTTTTTCTGTTACAGTTGGACCTTGCTAGGAAAATTCTTGGGACCTTTCTCACACAAATCGAGAGGAGATATATTCGGCAGCTGCGCCAATACCGTCATCCCGCGTGTGAATTGTGCATATTAATACTTAGAACTAACATTTACTATATATATATACATAAATATATATACATGTTAAATCTACTATTAAAGGCTGTAGCAAGTGGGTTATTATGATTAAGACACTATTTTATGTAACTTCGATTTTTGTTATTTCACTAATAATCTCTCCCCAAAAATTTCCTCTCAGATATCAAAAATATTTTTTTAACCATTTTTTTTTCAATATCTTTGTCCATAATTTTCCATATCTTTCTACTTTTTAAAATAATTGTAGTTTTCTGAGAGTTTTTTTGGTTATGTGACACATTACCCCAATTCTTTATTTTTTGGCCTAAAACTCCTTTTTATTTATAAAATAATATTTAAAAACATTAAAATCAGAATTTCTAGTTCAAAAAAACAGTTTTTTATTTTTTATACATGTCATATTACCCCGTATCCATTATTTTCGATTACTCTGAATTCGTACTAATTTGAATGTCCTAAAAAACGAAAATTTATAATTATAACATTGAAATTAATAATTTGAATTCAATAAATAAAATTAATAGGAGAAAAAAAAATATATTTTACTTTTATCCCATGTGACACTTTACCCCAATTTTTCTTTTTCTAATCAAGAATTTAATTTTGAAAACTACTTGTTATTTGGAAAATAGTCTTTACATTCAATTCTTCTCTTTCTAATCAAGAATATAATTTTGAAAACTACTTATTATTTCGAAAACAGTCTTTAAATTCAAGAAAAAAATTTCAATTTTTGTTGTGTCATATTACCCCGAATTTATATTTTTTCGAATTTCTAAGCTTCATTGAAAAATTATTTTTAGCCTAATGTTCCTGTTAATTTAAAATAATTGAAATTTATGATTTATTGTGTTAATAAAGATTTTCAATTCCATTTCAATATTACCCCGTGTTCACTTTTACCCCCAACGGCACTATTTTCGATTTTCTTATAAAATATATCGAGTATTTTTTTATCGATAAATAAATGTTAATGCGAAAAAATGTAAAATCTTCCAATTTACCCCACGATTGTATTTTTACCCCCTATGTACACTTTTACCCCAATAGGACAATTTCTTTCGGATTTTCTTTTCGTCGTTTTCTACTAAATGTAAAGTATTCAAAAATTTAGTTAACACATGTTTTAATTTACCCTAATAATTTTGTGCTTTATCTCGTATTCACTTTTACCCCCAATATCAATAGAGCTATTAGGGGCAAAAGTGAATACGAGATTTTTTTATCGAATATACCAAAAAAAATTTCGAATATTTTCTCAACGATTAATAAATCTTAACTACAAAAAAAATTGAGAAGTGTTCAATTTTTATATTTATCCTACTTTTGTATTTTTATTTAATATCAATTTTGCCCCGTAATTCTTGTCGCCTTTTCCCACTTGAATGTAAATTACAAAAGTATAATAGTAAAATGATTACATGTTTCAATTTACGCCAACTTTTTATTTTTTCTTCTGCTTTTACCCTCAACAGCACTATTTTTCAACTTTACACATTGCACAGTGTGACACTTTACCCCAATGTGTCACTTTACCCTGATTATTTCTTCTCAATGAAGAATTTAATTTTTATAATTGTAAATAAGAAAAATTAATTAATAAATTGAAGTCAAAACTTTAAAACTCTATGATTTAAATTGTGTGTCATATTACCCCGAATTTTCCAATTTCGCTGTTTTAACATTTATTTTTATATTATTTCTCTATTTTATAAAATATATAAAATTAAATTTACGATTTTTACCCTCATCCCTATTTTTACCCTATTTTTCAACTTTACACGATGTGACACTTTACCCCATGTGTCACTTTACCCTGATTATTTCTTCCTAATCAAGAATTTAATTTTTATAATTATAAATTATACCTATAAAAGAAATTAGTTAATAAATTGAAGTAAAAAAAATTAAATACTCGATGATTTAAATTATGTGTCATATTACCCCAGATTTTCAAGTTTCGCTATTTAAAAATTCATTTTCACATTATTTCTCTATTTCAAATTATATAAAAATTAAAATTTACGATTTATTTATTACTGGGTGTTATAAAAAAGTTTTTCAATTTGATATTCACGTAAACGAGTTTGACTATGGGTCGTCGTCGCTTTAAAACAATAAATTTAAAATACGACTCACACGACACAGCGCGAAAAGGATTTATAAAAGTTTCAAGAGTTTAAAAAAAAAAGTTTGTGTATAAGGTGGGAGAGATGATTGCTCGTAAAGTCGTCGACAATATGCACCATCTGCTATGCGAAATTAACGAAAGGGTTTTCTTTTCCAACTCATTTGTCCCCCTTATTATTATTATTTATTTTTTCTTCTTTTCATTTTATTTTAAAACAGATCTTGTCGACCAACTTAATTTATAGACACGTTTCTTCCTTCTTTCTCTTGTAATAAAGTTTTTAAATTAAAAATTCTTTTTCTCTTATTCGTTTTTTAATTTTCATATATATATATAACATCTTTCATCAAGTAGAGAGAAGAAAAAAAAATGACTAATGAAAAAGATATTTTTTTTATGATTCTTCGCCTGCTGAGCCAATGAAGACATACGTAAGTATTAATATTAAATTTTTATAAAAATTTTTATTCCCCATAATGATGAGTCAATATATGAGAAAAGTAATAAAACATTTTTGAAAAGGTTTAAAAAAAGTCGAAAATGAAAGAAATTGGTAAAAATTAGAGATTATGTTCCAATTTACCCCGTTTGTTCATTTTTGCCCCTTGTGAAAATTTACCACTAAAATCTCCCTCCCCCTCCTATAACTAGTTTAAAAAAAATCGTAAATGGAAAAAAATTGGTGAAAATTACATCGTGTTCCATTTTACCCCATTTGTCCACTTTTACCCCTAACGTCTCCCCCGCCCCTAATTTTTTTGGGGAAATTAATAACAAAAAACATAAACGAACAAATTGATTAAAATAAATATTAAAAATGAAATAATTATTTCATGTACCAGTTTACCCCACTATTTCAATTTTAATCCTTTATGATAAAATTTACTCAAAATTTATTAGATTTGATGTCATTTTTGAAATTTACTAATTCGTTTTTAATGCCTTATTGAAAAAAAAAATTTTAATTTCGATACTAACGTTACCTGATTCACCCCGTGTGTACTTTTACTCTTTAAAATTAGACTTTTTCAGAAAAAAGATTTTCTTTTTCTCTTTTGCCTAAATTAAATGCTGTTAAAAGTAGAATTAATAAAATTCAAAACAATCAAAATTTCAAAAATTCCAAAAATCTTAACACTTGAGGGGTAAAGTGGTACTTTTCAGCAATATATTTTTCGAATCAAATATTAATTCCTCACAATTTATTTATTGTTTTTGTTCACTTTGTTCTACAATAAAAAATAGAAATTTCAATGAAATTCCATTCCAGAAAAGCAAAATCTTTATACGTGGGGTAAAGTGGTATTTTTCAGCAATATTTTTCTCAAATTAAGAAAATCATTCAAGAACAATGGAAATTTTTACACTTTGTAGAATATAATGATACTTTTCAGCAATGTACATTCTCGAATTAAGAATAGATTTTTTTAGAAAATTTTATAATTAAGTTTCATGTCAGAAAAATAAAAATCTTTACCTTTGGGGTAAAGTGGTACTATAAAAAAATATATTTTTCAAATTAACAACTAGTTTACTAAAATTTATTCACATTTATTTACAACTTTTTTACACAAAAACTTTTTTTCAGAAAGAATAAAATTTTTTTTTGGAATATTCTACTACTTGCCATTTGCGGGGTAAAGTGGTATTTTACAGAAAATAAAGTTCTGGAATCAAAAATAAATTACTTGCAATTTGTTTTCTTGACATCTTTGTTCTACAATGAATAAAAAATTACAATAAAATTCCATTTCAGAGAAGTGAAAATCTTTACCCTTGGGGTAAAGTGGTATTCTCAAATTAGAAAACTGATTCTAGAACAATTTAAATCTTAACACTTGCAGGAAAAAATTATCCTTTTCAGCAATTTTTGGAATTAAAAATGAATTCCTTAGGAAAATAATAAAATTTTATTTCAGGAAAATGAAAATCTTTACTTTTGGGGTAAAATGGTACTTTATGGAAATATAATTTTCGAATTAAAAACTAGGTAACTTAGTAAAATTTATTCGTATATTATTTACAACTTTTATCCTGAAAGAAGAAAATTATTTTTACAGAAAAATTGAAAATCTTTACCCTTTGGGGTAAAGTGGTACTTAGCAGCAATATATTTCTCGATTTAAGAACTAGTTTACTAAACTTTATTCACAACTTTTTTCCAAAAACTTTTCTTTGCAGAAAGAATAAAATTATTTTCCAAAATATTTGAAAATCTTGCCACTTGCGGGGTAAAGTGGTACTTTTCAGAAAATATAGTTCTGGAATCCAAAATCAATTTCTTGCAATTTGTTTTTGTCATCTTTGTTCTACAACGAAAAACATAAATTACAGTCAAATTTCATTTTAGAAAAATGAAAATCTTTACACTTGGGGTAAAGTGGTAATTTTCGAATTTTAATTTAGTAAATTTTTAATTTTTTCCTGGGTTTTTTTTGCATCATTCGTTTTTCTTTTTGGTGTTTAGCGATTGGATGGATTTCAAACATGAGTGTTGGGAATGTTTCGAAGCGTGATTCTCGTCTCGTTGTCACCCTCGTATTCGGAGCTTTGGTAACCGAACCTCGTCCTCACACCCTCGTTGTATGTGGATGTGTGCCCAGGTCGTTCTCTCTCTCTCCCTCTCTCTCTCTCTCTACGTTATACCCCTTTGCGCAATCTAAACCAAGCCTCTGATCTACCATAAAGTCATTTCATAACCCATCCCGAGGGTTAACTATCCTCCCCCCTTTACCCCTCCTTGACTACCCCCCAAGTACCAAATCCCGAGTTAAACGTGACTCGACCGGTCTCGCAAACTCGTCACGGTAAATCCCTCTAACTCACCCTCTCTCTCTCTCTCATATTCCATGAAAACTGCATTCAAGAAATCGATAATATTTCACTACTTTCAATTTATTCAGGGTCAAACTGAATTTTCTTTTTCATTCCGAAAAAAAAGAATTTTCTTTTGTTGATTCTACTTTTAATGGCAGTTAAATTAGGGAAAGACGGCAAAAAAAATTTTTTTTTATGAAAAAGTCGAATTTTAGGGGTAAAAGTACATATGGGGTAAAATAAGTAATATCATAGGTGGGGTAATATGACACTTTTGTTAATTCTTTCTTTTAACAACAATTAATCGAGGTAACAGAAAAAAAACAATTAAAAAAAACTTTTTTCTGAAAAAGTCACAATTTTAGGGG